TTGCTCGGTCAACTTGTCATGGGGTGTAACCCTCTATGTTCTTTTTTACAGTTTGGAGACCAGAGTAACGGGAAGTATGTTGACTAGTTGTATTATCGTTGCCGCCATGATACGATTCACCCGGCACAAAACCACCGTGGGCTCTGCACGACCTGCAGGCTTCACCTGTCGGTCCAATTTCCATGCACACATTGCAATGACTCTCCCCCTCATGGGGGTCATAAGTATACAACCCATCCTTTTCTCTGTAAATCCATTGATTCCCATCTTTGGAAACAAAAAAATGCATTTTCTACGTCGGTATCCATCACGATACGATACCCTTCTTTTACCAATAAAGACGCACTGTCCACATCACAGATGGCATCAGCGTCATACTTACACATATTATCCATGTGTTTACTCTCAACTTCATGCGTTAGATTCCTTCCTCCTCCGACATTTGTTCCATAATTGAACATATACGGAAGCTCTTTCAATGTTCCCATCTTCGCATTCATCGAATCTTTGCGAAGATGAAATGTAGAACCAGTGTCAAGGGACGGACCTGTTGCGCCCGAACAAAACCACTTCGGATCATGCATATCAAAATGCTCTGGAATCTTGCCATCCTTATAATCATTTGAATCAAGCAGATCATGCATATCAAAATGCTCCGGAATCTTGCCATCCTTATAATCATTTGAATCAAGATATACCAGATCGCCGCTATCCTTATACCTGAGTCCCCGATGAGCTTGGGAATGCATCACAGCTACTTCCCTACCAACCTGTGCTCTGTGTACTTGCAACACTGACGTCTTTTTCGGCTGCTCTGACAGCATCCAATTGTACCTGCCAGTTTGCCATTATGTCGTGTGGTGGTGACTTCCCAAATCTTGAAGGTCTTAAAATAGGCTGCGGTACTCTCTTACGTCCGCCAAACTGAGCCATATTCCACCCCTGAATGCCAATCTTTTGCTTTCGAGGCTGTGGTCCACCACTCCTGTCAGCCGAACCAGTCTGCATATGGTTCTGCTGAGAAATGCCATGATCATTGTTGGCGGGTGTACCTGCGGTGTTAGCTGTCACACTTGACTGCACAGATCCCTCATCGGTGCTTGTCTGCAGGTGTACCTGTTCGCGTCCCGATTCATTCCTGGGATACGATCTCCATTTTGTCGGATCTTTCCATTGTTCCTTGGGTCGGAATCGATGTTCACATTGCGGTGCAACATGATCCGCCTTACCACAGCAAAAACATTTACGCTTACTCCCCTTGTTGTAATCCTGTGCAAGGTTAGTACCGTTCTGTGGTGTGTTCGCTTTATCATCTGTGTTGTTGTTGTTGTTGTTGTTGTTGTTGTTGTTATGTTTCAGTGTTGTTGTTTTCTTTACCCGATGATTGTGTAGCGCCTTGGCCGCAGTTTCCACATCTCTTGGGAACAAATATCGCTGAGCATAATCCACGTGCTCCACAGCGTATGCAGTAACAAAATGATCAAGTACCGGCTGGTATCGTGCACGATCACAGTTGTGCAATAACCCAGCAGCGCAGAATAACTTACAAACTCTTCCTGAAATTCTTCTTGAAGTGCTTCAACTTCTGCGGCAACTCGCTTCTTTTCTCTATCCGACAAGCCATTAGTCGGATGATTGTTTTCAATCTCATGATATGCGGTCGTTTTTGAGGCAAACACATCAAGCCACGAATCACCCATGAAAGATAATACTGTAGTTGCGCATTCTTCAAATCGTCTACGGTATTCAATCACCGTTTCATTTCCTTTCTGACGACAATTCACCCACTTCTGTAGTGCTTCCCACAGTGTAATGGGTTCCCAGTCTGTCACATCACTGGTCGTCATAAATTTATTGATGCGTCTCAATAATTCAATAGGATCACCCTCGATTTTCTCATTGTAATCGACCTCCTGCAGAATCTTGTCCTTCATT